GTGGGAATTACCCAGAAGTACCTACGTCGCAGTCTTGATAAGAGCTGTTTGAAACTGTCTCTGCCAGATCAGTTCCAGAAACCCCGATTTGTTCTGCGTTGGTTCGATAATGCAGCTCCTGCCTGTCACTGCTCTCGTTTTACAGCGTTGTTCAAATTGAAATATTGAAGGTGGTAGGGAAACGACTTTTGTCCTGATATTTCTTTTTACTTTTCGACCGCAGCCTGAATCTTGTAGCACTTTTTGTCAAAGTATTGTTTTAAAAGCAAAAATGAGCACTCTATAAAAATCCAGGACATTCGAACAGCAGCTGGTTTGATTGTGTTCTCGGGTGGATTTATCCCTTTAAGACGAGGAACTCAAGGATGAAAATGGGAAGTGCTTTTAAACATATTCCTTTCTCTCTTTTTAATCCTGAGTCTCTGAGGGACAAACAGTCTGCCTGCGTTTAGTTAGGATTGTCACGGGGAGTTGAATCGGTTAAAATAAATGTTTTATTATTTTAGAAATCTGTGCAGGTGCTCTCTGTTGGACAGCAAAGGATACCTCTGTCTCTTCCTGTGCGTCTGTTTCTCTGTCTGTCGCTCCTGCTGTTCTGTACATTAACATGACTGTAACGTGACTGTAACATCACCACGGCAACATCATAACAACCGTCTCTCTTCATCATTCACAGTTCATTAAAGCTTCTCCACTGTTTAGAAAAAAGTACTCTGACATAAATCTGTTACATGAAAATAAAACACGTATTTGTCCTCTATATAACGTGTGTGTGTGTGTGTGTGTGTGTGTGTGTGTGTGTGTGTGTGTGTGTGTGTGTGTGTGTGTGTGTGTGTGTGTGTGTGTGTGTGTGTGTGTGTGTGTGTGTGTGTGTGTGTGTGTGGAGTATTTACACGTGTGTATATTTACAGTAAAGAGACTGGTGTGTGTTCTCAAGATTTCCCACACAGCACCAGTAAATGTAAATGGGGAGTGTGTGTGCAAAAGAGACTGATGTCCTTGTAATACTGTCTATAGTGTCTCCTGTTCTGTAGTAGAAGGTGTGTTTAACAGTCTGTCGTGTTGTCATTAAAAGATCCGTCATGATTCAGACCAGTGTTGGACTCATGATTTTGGTTTTGTTTTGGGAGTTCGTGTGTGTTTAGCAGATGACTGGGACTCCGTCGGTGTTGAAGATCATGCCGGTGGTGGGTTCGTAGGTGCCGGCCAGGTAGTAGAGGTCCTCGCTGTCGGCGTACTTCCGGGTGAGGGTCATCTGCTCGTACTCCTCCACGCTCACCACCAGGCACTTGTGGCTCACCGTCTGCACGTCGTTCTCGTCGCTGTGGGACGACTGGTAGAGGGCGCGCTGTGGAGGACACACAGGATTTTATTAGAAATAGTTACAGTGTAGTTATGTCGATGAAAGTCTTAGGTCACAGGCTCCTCCAACAGAGCAACACAATAAAACAGATTAAATAGTGCAAGTAATAAATACTAATAAAAACAAATAAAATAGAATTGAAATAGTACAATAATATACTTTTCATTTAGTGTGGATCAAAAACATGCTACTTTTCTACCCAACTAGATAACTCACTGCAATGTTTGGAGTCCAACAACGTTGTGTTGTTCATTTAACTCCAATCAGATCATAGTAAGAGTAATGTATTAGAAAAAGGAATTGTATTAAATATATGCAAATAGTAATAGATTTGTTACTAATGTGACTTTAACTTCTTATGTTTAAATAACTACTTTAACTTGTTATTTGTATCTTTTTTATTTGATCTTTTATTGGAGATTTTACTTTTTATGTTTATATGAAATATCTTTATTTCTTTTTATTTCACTTTCTTATGTTTTTACAAATATTTCCTATTTTATTTATTTCAGTTTAAAATTGAGCTTTCCCCGGGACATATAAATATTCTTATTCAGAAATGTATTTGCTATTATAAATTAAAACAATAAAAAAAACTAATTTTGTTGAACTATGAATATTGTGAAATTATTTATATAATAATAATACATTTTATTTGTAAAGATAATTAAAACGTTTTGATAGTTGGCCCAAAAAAAATGTATTTTTCTTAACCTATTAAAGTTTAAAGTATAAAACAGTGAATAAATAAAGCTTTCCGTTAACACAACCATTGCCTATTAAGCTACTATCACTGTTTATTGATGTATTCAGGCAAATATATTCACAACATTTAACTATCTTAAAGGGGACCTGTCATGCAAAATGCACTTTTTGATGTCTTTTATACATAAAGATGTCCCCCCCCGGTGTGTTAGGGAACTCACGCAGCGTCAGAATATAAAACCCTCTCTCTTTTCCTCCGTACCCACATCTCTAAAAACGGGGCTACAACGGAGCTGATCCAGATTTGCGTCAGATATGACGTAATATCGGAAATGTAGGCTGGCTTTACACCCATGGCCCTATCAGAAACGTTTCTATCAGAAACAATGCCCGACTGTTTTGGACGTAATATGGTCGGTGTTTACATTAGCATCGCTAACACTCAGAGCTAACCTGTACTGGAGAGCATGTGTGTGAAGAAGCAGGAAATAAAAAGGAACTCACCTTGTGGTATAACCGGCAAGAGAGAAAGCCTTTGAGCTCCATACTGTTTCAGAGATAATCCTTGATAATCCATGATATGGTGTTTCATCACCGCAGTATTTAGTTTAGACAGTAGGTGCCGGGTCCCGCATGAGCTCAGCCCCCTCCTTTTTATTTTTAATCCATTTTTTCTTTTATTTTTTAAAGCTTTATAAATAAAATCAGTACTTTTGAAACAGGAAGTGAAATAGAGGGATATGAGGCATGGCTAGAATGGGTGATCTGTTTGGTATTTTGAGCAAAACACTTCATAGACATGTTTTTTATATATTTTTATATCTGAGACCTATGCTATTGCCTAAACATAGCATGATAGGTGACCTTTAAGTCCGTTTTGGGCTTCCATATTTTCTAAGTGTAGCTTTCTCAGCTTTATGGTTATAATAAAATCTAACGGGGCTTTAAAGCCAGAAGATCAGAGGTATATAAAACGCTTTCTCTCTCACCTCCATGAAGTCTTTCCTCTTGATGGAGGAGTGCAGAGCTGAAGGTAACGACAGACCGCACATCTGATCCCAGTTCTGCAGAGGACAGATTGTTAATCTTTTAAATGTGTGTTCAGTCTTTTACTAAACAGCTATGAAAGAATCGTGCATACAATCCTAAAAAAGTCTAATGGTTTTTTAATGACACAGCACAATGATAGATGCGTTGAGGAAATAAGAGAGGAGGAAGACTATTAGTTATGAGATTGGATTAAAAATAAATCCCTTTCATTAATTACATTCCCTGACATTAAAAAGGGTTTGAAACCTCCACAAGCTGAAAACAATTAACAAACACAAATATATTTTACTGAATAACCAATAAGAATTGTCTAAATCCCAGGAAGTGCGCAATCAAATTTTCATAGTGGCTAAATGGTGGTTACAGCTTGACACATGTCAGGCCAAAAATACTTTTTCCCAATAGGCGCTTTCACACCGCAGTACTTTTCCCACTTTAGTTCCGATATAGTTCCGAAATGTTGCGTTCACACCAAAAAAATCCAGAACTAAAATTAGTTCATGAGAACCTTTTTACCCCTTTTTCCGTCCCTGCTAGAGAGCAGGTACTTTCGTGGGAGAAAAAGGTTCCTATTTCTGATTGGCTGGGCGGATTGCGAACCACTTCAGTAGAAGCTGCTGGGACTCCCAGCAGCTTCTACTGAAGCCAGTCCCCAACTCCGGGACTTCCGGCCGGGACTCGGGGGCGAGTATACGCCCTGAGTTGTGCGCCTGCCAGTAAAACCCAACGCCAGAAGAAGGAAGAAGTGACGTCAGCGCTTCATCTGGCGTGAGCGGCGCCTCAGGCTTATTTCCGGGTGACGGCGATCTGTACTTAGTTCATGGAACTAGAGAGTCTCATGAACTAAGTTCTGATGACCTTTGTGGAAAGTACTGCGGTGTGAATGCGCCTAATGACTTACACTAGGAAATGGGACTTGTTAATCAGCGTATATATTTAACCAAAAATGATTGAAAGCCCTTATTTAACTCATAAGACGAAAAGTGTAACATTTCAAAAGCGAACCTTCATTCGTTCTCACCTGCTAGACAAGGAGTGGTGAGCTGTTGAGGCGGGCTTAAGGAAAAAGCTAATGAGTTGCTTCTCCCTGACAAATGTGGTATTTTCTGCCTTCGAGTAACAGGTTCTTTTGGCTTCATGCACCACAGGCATCTTTTATAGAATAAACAGGATCCCCGCCTCAAAGTCTTTATATTAAAGCAGCACAACGGTCACTACCCCACTCTGTATAAACAAAGAATCGGCACCAGGTTTAATTACGTTTAATCATGGCTAAAAGCTGCTGGTGTCGCGATTGCCAGTAAAACAACGAAAATGATCCAAAATCAGGTTTTTATACTTAAGGAAAAGGACAATGAAGGAAAGATCTGTGGGCATCAGGACATTCCAGAGGAAAGGATGTACAGTAGTGACCGGATCCTTCATGAGTTTTTTGACGCCTACTGTTAGAAAAATATCACTCGTCACCGGCTTGAGCTTCAATAATCAGGATCCATGTATTTATTATCCTCTCAAGAATGGAAGTAGTCATCAAATACAGAGCATTTGGTTCAACCAGTTCCTGAACAGTGTCCTTCACATGCTGATATACAAGAGAGGGAGTTACACAGTCACAAGATGCAGGGATACCGGTTCAAAGCAGTATTCAATGTTTAGCTAAGGCCTGCGTAAGCAATAAACATGACAGTCATATGTCCCTAGGGGCTGTCATCATGTTTAATCGTTGAACATAGCTATCGTATGTTCAACACGGTGTCTCATGAGCTTCTTCTAGGTAATCATACATCCTGTCACGTAGGGCCTTTGTTATCATGTGTGACTCTGATATTGGAAGAGTACATTCAGTATTTTCCCAACACCTACCTTCTTGTCGATGAGTTTCTTGCCGGGGTTAGTCTCCTCAGGGTGGTAGAACCAGTTGACCCGGACCACCATGTTGCTGCCCCACGACTCCCACATGCTCTGGATGCGTCCGATGAACGGTAAGTTGGGTCGTCCGGCGGACAGGAAGACGGCGCAGTCTCCGATGCGGATCATCTCCCGGCCGCGCACGATGGCCTTATAGAAGAGCTTCTTCGCCTTGCCTTTCATACCCCGTCTCTGTGGGGGGGAGAGGGGGAGAGGGACAGGTCAGAGAGAGAAAACGAGGGGGGGATTTGGTACATTAGGGGCCTGTGTCTATATAGCGCCATTTACTGGCAGGGTTGAAATGCTCACAGCTGTTTTTTATTGTTTCTATGACATATGGCATCTTGTCAGTGTATTACATGACGTACTTGCTTCTCCCCCATGGATTGTTTTGTCTGTTTTTGTTTGTTTGACATCGGTTTTTTCAGCATTACAACCTACAGGAAGATACTTGCTCTCACACTTTGTCTGGATAAGCTTAACATTTTTTGTTTTTGGTCTTCACAATTACATATTTTCTTCACTTATTAAATGTAACTTTGTTTTGTTTTTCACCTGGACCCTACATTTGCATTTTTTGTGTCTAAGTACCGTTTTTTAAAGGGCTTCAGTATTGAGGAATGAGCAAAGTGACTCATAATAAGAAAAGGACCCTGATGTTATTTACATACCCTATACACTTGATTTGCTCTGTTTTAATGCCTAACCAAGTCTCAAACAGCAAGAAATCTCACGTTGCTTCCACATAGTGGAAATATTCAGTCATGACATTTTAAATCTTTTAGACGCTAATTATATAACTTCTCAACTCAACTCAACTTTATTTATAAAGCCCTTTTCAAAACAGCCGGAGCTGAAACAAAGTGCTGTACACGCCATAAAAAACAAAAATAAAACAACAATAACAATAAATAACAATATAAAAACAACAAAACCAATGAAGCATATAAAAACAAACAGAAACAGAGTCTCATGCTGGGTTAAAAGCCAAGGAATAAAAATGGTTTTTTTTGAGTACAGAAGTTTTTAACTTCTGTACTCCCAGACAATAAACTTTGGCAACAGTGACACTCCTCTCTCCAAACTCTCTAAACTGACAAAGAACCTTATTTTTATAAAATAATCATTGTTTGAAACAGAAAATCCTCTCAGCCATAAGGAATGCAGTCAGGTATTAATGAATGAATGAATGAGTAATGAAAATGACATATTTGCACCGTGTACATGTGAAGTATTTGAAAAAAATGCATTTATGTTGCTAATAAAGTGATAAAGTCGAACAAATAGATTGAATATTAATTATAAAAATCTGTTTTGCCATCAAGCTCTCTGATTGGATGTTTGTTGCCATGGACACACATGGCACCAGGACCAATGGAACGTTTGGGTTTGACCTGGAGTTCTAGAACTTTGGTTCTCATGACAACCGAGCACTGAACGTAAACAGGAAGGCTCTTCTGAGGACTTCAATCACTCTACAGCCAGCAGTCAGCCATAGACACGCATTCAGTCAGAAACCAGTCAGTCTAACAAAGACAACACACAGCTTCGACAGGCAACTACATTCTTCTACACTCGCACAAGTCTACACACTGTGCCATGGACAGACGAGGCTTCCAGCCCAACAGGGGGAAACCTGTGGATCGCGTTGAACTCGCCTGCAAGCAGATCCCCTGCAGCAACGGGCAGATATCCGGCCTGACTGAGTTATACGCTGAGTATCACAGAGAGAGGAATAACTTTTGCCACAGGGTGCGAGCAGAGAAAGACAAACGCCTCGAGGAACTCCTGGATTACAGGGACACAGGATTTTCTGAAGAGCATATAAAGCAGTTTGACACCATCATGGAGTGTGAGGAAGACATCTCATATCTGAGGGAAAGTCTGTGCCAACAAAGCCAGCAGCAGACATCCGACAGCCAGAAACATGGTGGTCTCCTGCAGGCCAAAACAGAGACCGCAAGAATGCTGATGAGGAAAGGGGAAGATCTCCTTCAGTTCATTACAATCTTGGAGGATAAATGCAGCGCTGAGAAGGAGAAGATGGAGGCGGAGAGCCAACACAGGGAGCAGCTGGACGAGATGATCACAAGGTTTGAGGCAGAGAAAGAGATCTCAGACCAGATCAACAAGGAGAAATCCGACAGCCTGGACAAGGAGAAGTTCCTGCGACTGGAGGCAGAGAACACCAACGCTGAGCTCCGTCAGAGCGTTACAGCCTGGCAGCTCGACTGCAGCTCTCTGCAGAAGCAGGTCCTCAAAGAAGTGGCTCTGAAACAGAGCAGGGAGGCTGAAGTCCAACAGCTGGAGGCCAGATTGAAGGGGCAGGAAGAGAGATTCTTCAAACACCTGGCCGAAAACCACCAGAGATGGATCAGGAGGAGAAACAACTGGGAGAACAGCAAAAGTGATCTTCAAAATGTAAGAAATAGAGAAGAAAAAGATGGAGGAAGCTGAGGCGACAGACATTTTTTATTTTGAATGCTGCCTGCATTAAAATAAAATTAAAAGAAAAACATTTAATTAAATTACAAAAAGAAAAACTTCCATGTCAGTCTCTCTGAAGGAACATGTACTGTATACGGTAATTATGGTATGATATTTTGGGGACTAAACTAGTAGATGTACCGGTATCTGTTTAGTTTATTATGTGAACAACACTGAATCTAATGAATAAAACATCTAATAAGAGATGCATGTAAAGATAGGTGCAGGTCTTTTTATATTTGTCTCACTAAACAGGTTCATTTCATACAAGCTCTTAAAATATTCAAGTTATAAAAGCGCATTTTCAAAAACCTTTGTTGCTGATTGGCTAATGGTTACTCACGCCAAAACATCATGAGGTCATCATAAAGTTGGCCAAAATCTGATCAGCTCATTTTGATGAAGAAGAGACATGGAAAAGAGGGGACACATGTTGATGTAGAAGAGACATGGAAGAAGAGGGGACACATGTTGATGTAGAAGAGACATGAAGAAGAGGGGACACATGTTGATGTAGAAGAGACATGGAAAAGAGGGGACACATGCTGATGTAGAGGAGACATGGAGAAGAGGGGACACATGTTGATGTAGAAGAGACATGAAGAAGAGGGGACACATGTTGATGTAGAAGAGACATGAAGAAGAGGGGACACATGTTGATGTAGAAGAGACATGAACATTAAACTACGTTTTTCTCTTTTATGCTACTTAATACTACTATGTCCGGTGCCTTGCTCAAGGGCACCACGGCAGGGCCCAGGAGGTGAACTGGGACCTCTCCAAGTAGCAGTCCACACTCCATATTTAGGTCTGTTCGGGGACTTGAACCGGCGACCCTCCGGCTCACAGTCCAAGCCTCTACTGACTGTGCCACTGCCGGACCTTTTCCACATCTGGAATGTTCTATCTCGTCTTGTTTTTCCTTAATCTCAATCTTTATTTATTTATATAGCACATTTAAAACAACCTCAGTTGACCGAAGTGCTTTACAGGCAATAAATAAAAAATCAAATCACACAACGGGAGTCAAATAATTCCTCACCTGAGTGGGTTTTCCGAACCACTTCCAGAGTTGTCGGGCTGGAAGGAACGCAGATATTTTGGGTCTGTTCTCCACGCTGGGGAGCCGCTGACGTTTGGCCAGCTCCTTGGTGGTGGGCATGTGGACCCCCTCCCTCCTCTTCGGCCTGCCCACCTTCCCCTCCGCTCCGCTGGGCTTCGGTTTGGGAGGGCGACCCCTCTGCCCGGAGCCTTTCCCGGTCGCTGGTTTCACAGGTTTGACGGGAGCAGGAGGCGTCGGAGAGGAGGAAGGAGAGGGAGATTCTGAAGGAGGCGACATCTCTTCTTCTTCTTCCTCCTCTTCCTCTTTCACCACTTCCTTCTTCACCACTTCCTTCTTCACTTCCTCCTTCTTCACTTCCTCCTTCTTCACTTCCTCTTCCTCTTTTGGTTCTTCTTTCGCTTTCTCCTGTACTGGAGGAGCTGTGATTGGCACTGAAGGAGGGGTGGAGGTCCTCCCTTCATCCGAGCTGCAGGAGGAGTCATCGGTGGACGAAGAGGACGAGGACGAGGACCCTGATGAAGAAGACGAGGAGGAACCGGAGCAAGATGAAGAGGAGGACGAGCAACTAGAGGTGCATTTCTTCTTCTTCTTTTTCTTCTTCTTCACCTTGTCACGTTCCTCCTCCGACTCTGAGCTGCTGCTGCTGTGAGATTCCTCCTTCTTCACCTTCCTCTCTACCTCCTTTTTACCTTTCTCTTCCCTCGTCTCCTGTCCTCTTCCACGGTTCTCCGACTTCTCCTTTGTTAGAATCGGCGCTTTGCAGTGAGCGTCCTTCTCTGGAAGAACACACTCTCTATCAACTCTCGGTTTCACCTTCATCAGCTTCTGATTGGTCGAGGCGATGGGCGTGTGATCCGCTCTGACGCCCCGGCCCTCCAGCAGCATCAGAGCTTTAGTCTTCTTGGTTTTTGGAGAGGTGACGCCTTCGTGGTCCAGCTTCACGAGAGGCTCTGCCGGTAAAGACTTGCGCCTCATCAGAGAGTCCCCTTGTCCCGAGCTGGGTTTGGGCCGCGAGACGGCGCCGGGTCTGGAGGAAAGATGGTCGGACGCCATCTTCAGTTTGGGTCTGGGGGCGGAGGATGACGATAAAGAAGGTCTGGAAGTCAGAGGTTTGCTGGATGACATTCTGGAGATGGAGACGGGTATGAGTCCGGAGCTGTGGCTCGATCTGTGATGCTCCGAGGGGGGTTTGGTTTTGGGCGAGGAAACTGAAGAGGGCCTGGATGAAGACTTGGGCGATGTAATATTGGGTCTAATTAACGGTCGGTTTGAGGTGGGACTGACGCCGTTTTCTCGATCTCTGCGCTGGTTTGTGTACGAGCTGAGGTTGGGTTCGCTGTACAGATCCACCGTCAGGACCTTTCCGTAGGTGGAGGGGTAGAGGGACGGAGGCAGAGAGCGGGATTGTTTAACCGCAGAAGGAGGGGGGGCTTTCCTGGAAATGGGTTGTGGAAGAGTAGGGCTACTTAGTGGGGACGTAGTGGAGATTTTGCGGCCCGGTTTCTGATGGGGTCCTATCGTGGGGCGGGATGCGGGACGAGGTTTCTCCGGAGAGTTCTTCTGCACAGAGGAGGGTCTGTCCTGGGGAGGCTTGGGTGGAGGCGGGGGTCTCTCTGCGGGCGCGCTGGAGGAAGACGGAGGGTCAGCTTTCTCCCGGACGTCTGGGTTCACGGAGGTCTCTGAGAGGAAAAACAACACAAAGGTTAGACTTTACTGGAAACCATGATGTTTTCTTTCTGTGACGACGGGATTTTTGTGGTTGTACGTGGAGAAAAGTAGACAAATGAAAAAGGAAATTATTCTGAAAACTTTAAGAACTGCTTGGAAAGAGGAAAGAAAGGTAGAACAAAAACACATAGCTGATAATAGATGGAGAACATGGATTGAATATGGAAAAATCTTATAAATACAACTTTAACACGGCCAAGAGAATGAGCATGTTTTCCCTGCAATCATTTTCAGTTCTGCTTACTGTATGTTTGTATAAGTATACAGGTACGTGTATATGTGTATAAGTGAACATTGGTACAAGTGGGTATATATGTGTGTATGAATGTATATTTAAAAGATCCTCCCTCTTCATTTTTTACCCGTGGTGAAGTATGAAGTGTATAAATTGAAGCAAGGGGTGGCTCTGGGACTTTTGTAGTGATGTGCGGAGAAAAGTAGACAAATGAAGGAGACGACTCTAAAAATGAAAGCATTGCATTGAAGAACTGCTTAGCCAGCAGAAACAAGACGAGCGTCAGCAAATTAGACACAACACATCATTTGTTAGAGGAACAGACTCTGGACAACAACGGAGGTCTTCATTAAAGTGACAACAGAGATGACAGTCACAGTCAAGTACGAGATGCTTGATGAAAGATCCTTCTGAGCGTGGAGCTATTTCTGTTTGGGTCTGATGTTTTAAAAAGATTAATCTAAAGGCGATGGAAAAGCATGTTTGATTTGACTTCTTTAATGGTCTTTATGATAAATAGTTTGAATAAGGACATCAACAATCTGCATGTTATTATCAGTATTCCTAAAAATGGAGAAGAAGTAGGGCACACATTGTCCTCTTAATGTGAAATACATCTCTTTTTAATACGAGGTGTTGACACATTTGGCCAGAGATGTCCTTTACTGGTCCCATTAGGCGCTTTCACACCGGAGTATTTTTCCAGTACTTTTCCTGTTTAGTTCCGATAGTTCCTGGGATTTTGCGTTCACACCAAAAAGACTTAGTTCATGAGAACTTTTACCCCATTTTTAGTGCCTGCTAGAGAGGTGGTACTATCCTGGGGAGAACAAAGTTCCAATTTCTGATTGGCTGGGCGAATTGCAAACCACGTCCCGTAAAACTCGGAAAAGTTTTTGGAAGCCGCCATTGTATTTGCTGGCATTAGCATTATTAGCATTAGCATTAGCCCCACGCACCAACGCAGAGAGACTAACTTATGGCAACACAAAAGAAAACATGGGAGCGGTGGAGATGAGGAGGTGTCGGCGTTCTGGCGATTTACTCGGAAGGCTTCAGTAGAAGCTGCTGGGAGTCCCAGCAGCGGGTGGCAGTATACGCCGTGAAGTGGTTTGTGGCCTGCCAGTAAACCCAAAGCAGAAGAAGAAGAAGTGACGTCAGCGGCTTCATTTGCCTATTCTTCCCTCAGGGACTTATTCCGGTGTGAACGCGATCGGCTCTTAGTTCCATGGGGGTTATAAGTGCTGGGTACTAAGTACGGCAAAGTGCTTGGTGTGAAAGCCGCTATTGAATTCCTCAAAGGAGAGAAAAAGGCAGCAAATCCCAACTAACTCTTATTTTTATTGTATTATTATTTTCTTTGTATTTAATCATTTTTATATTCTTATTTAATTTATACATTTTATTCAGATTTTTAAGAGAGTTTTTAGCAATCCCAAAGTCATGTGTTACTTGGTATTTATTCCCAGGGAAGGGGACCATGGTACTATCTTTATTTTTTGTTTGTGAAGCACTTTGCGTTACCTTCTGTGGAATAAAGTCGAACATGATGGCAGTACAGTGTTACTAAGCAACCCCTCTTTTATTTCTACCTCCCTTAGGAAACATTACCTTTTCTCTTTTTGATTATTCTAACAGATCTCAATCACTTCTGAGAGACTCGTTGTCCCTTCAGGTGATTTCACTGATGCATTACAGTCGAGTGAAATTAGACTCAGAGGGTATCATCTATTAGCAGGATGAGCAGCGGGTCGTGGGCTGGTAATAACAATTAGTGAGTTGAATAATGATGGTACTAAAAGTCAAGCGTTAAGCCCAAATGAAGCAAGAGAAGCTGCAGGAGAGGAGGAAGCGGTTTGCTCACCTGGTTTGGGTTTGGGTTTGCGACCAGGTTTCCCTTTGATCTTCGGAGCGCTATCTTCAGGTTTTGTTCCCGCCTCTTTGCTCTCTTTGCTGCATTTACGGACTCTCCTCCGGGAGCAGCTGGACACCAGCAGGGCAGGGGACGGCTCGGCACCTGGAGGAAAACAGAAGATTTAAGCATTTGACATTAAAGAGGACATATTCTGCTGATGTTCAGGTTCATATCAGTATGTAGTGTCTCTACTGGGACATGTCTCCATGCTTTAATGTTCACAAAGCTCTTTATTGTTCTCATACTGCCTGTGCTGCAGCACCTCTTTTCACCCTCTGTCTGAAACCAGAGCCCAGTCTGCTCTGATTAGTTAGCTGGCTCTGTTGTGACTTGTCAACCGCTTAGAGATGTCCCGCCCCTTAGCCTATCATGTACAATGTGTTGGAGCCATGGATGTATAATAAGAACTGGATACAGCGTGGGAGACGGGGCCTCATTCATTCCTATGAGAGCTGCTCATTGGTGCATGAAGACAAAATGGCCCAACTTTTGAGAGAGNAAAAAAAATTATCCAACGATTTAAAGACGTCTCTTTCCCAATGTTAGTCAATGGGAAAAAGTCTTTCCGGGCCCAGCGACTGATACGGAAGTGTAGTACCGCCGTTTGGCCACAACTAATATTTTCCTCAGAGTCCGGCGCACTTAATGGGGGCTTGGTTGGAGCGCTAGCCAATATAAGCATGAGTGTTACATAGTGGAGTAACTATTGTTAAAAGTAAACAAAGAAGTCCAATCTAAGCTTAAGGAAGTTTGGGACTTTAGCCTTTGCAGACTATTTACATGAACCAATATAAACACACTTCAGGAAAGGGTAAACCTCAAAAAGCATTATAGGGCCCCTTTAACATTTCTCAAGCTTTCCCCATGACTGCAGCTACTCAGGCTTCTTAACAAGAAAAGCAGCACCTGAATATAGGCGTGTTCTTGTCTGTTACCTGCAAACCTCTCAATTCTGAATGATCAGATTGTGTCTTCTCTGTGCACTCCTTCGTTAAATGTTAGAAGCACCTTGCTGGCAAAAAGGAACATATTTACACCAGCTTCTGCCAAAGTCAACAGTAGCACCCACGGAGAAATACGGCTGAAATATCACAAGGTGTTTTGAGTACTAGACACATATATTTGTTGTCAGCAAGGTGCTTCATGTTGTTTCTCTCCTTTAGGAGGACATCATTTCCTCACTGTAGTTGATGTGGACATCAACTGCTGAACCATGCTTAAGTGGACAACACACACACTTAGGAAGAGTGTTTAGGTATAGTATTTATAGTATATACACACACAGCTGTTTAAAAAGTAGCTGTGTAACAGAATAGCTTTAAGATAGCGGCACTGTACTGAGAAAACACTTCACCTAAAGCCAATCAACACACGAATAGCAACCATGCAAACATATAGACATGATAGTGTGTGTGTGTGTGTGTGTGTGTGTGTGTGTGTGTGTGTGTGTGTGTGTGTGTGTGTGTGTGTGTGTGTGTGTGTGTGTACTCACAGTGGATCTTGTAGTCAGGCGGCAGCAGTCTGATGTGTGAGAGCGGGATGCGTCCTGTGTCTCCGTCATCAAACTCCACCGTGATGAGATCATCCTTCTCGTCGATATCTGAACTTCCTGTTAAGGGTGAAAATAAAAAAAGACTCAAGTGTTATAATTAGATTTTGAGTCATTTGTAGAGATAAGGAAAACTTTTTTAAGCATGTGTTTTGATATATTTATTCTTAATTTAAAAAGTAAAAAAATTCCCAATGCAATAAATAGTCAATCTGATTCTAATTACATTCACTGAATGGAAATAAGAATACAAACCCATACCAAATATGGTCCCATTACTAGCTGGCCCAAACCCTTTTGTATCGTTCGTTCGTTCGCGCGCGCGTGTGCGTGCGTGCGTGCGTGCGTGCGTGCGTGCGTGCGTGTGTGTGTGTGTGTGATGCTGGCTCTGTACCGTTGACCACGGAGCCGGGGTACAGGCAGCGGTACTGCTGGCTCCAGTAGGCGGCAATGCGTGTTCCCTCAGGAAGGTAACGGACAGACGGAGGCTTCACATCGATGATCTGCACACAAAAATCATATACATTATTCCACAGGTCAAGCCTTTACGCATGCATGTAACCAGCGGTGGAAAGTTACTACGTCGTAGACATAAAATAAATGACCATAATTAAGTACATTTTTTAGTATTTCCATTTTAAGCTACTTTATATATTTCCACTTCACTTTCATTTGGAGGCAAAAATCGTTTTTTTTGGTACTCAAGTAAAAGGTCTGAGTTATTTTTCCCCACTGCATGCAATCCTTTTATTTTCCAAGTGCTACACATTTCAGTTTTCACCAGAAACAGAGATGTGATTTGTGTTGACTCACAGCCTCCTGCAGCAGTTGTTCAAGGCAGTAGATGTGTGGTCGGTTCCCTCGCTCCCCCTCCACCACCACGCTGTATCTGCAGGGAGGAAATGTGGAGAAATGGACGGGTTAAACGTCTGGGAATCAGTGGGAAAGTTCACGTTTGTCTCTGCAGTGTACATGTGTATTTTCCAGGGAAAGCACTAAACCGGTATCTGGATTCTGACTGCTTCGTGGGGGGTGGGGGATGTGTCGTTTATAACTAACAAACACTGCAGTACTTTGTCATTTAATACTTTTCAGACCATAGCGCTGTTAATACCTGAATCCCCCCCTGGAATATTAATCCCGTCTGAACAGGGGGTTTTGTTTTCTTTTAATGAGGCCACTCATTAGATTTTAATGTTTGTCATAAAATGTTTATGCAGGTTTGTGCAGTTTTACAGGAATACTTTGACATTGTTTGGGATAACATGCCTATGTTTTAATGCCCAGAGTTAGATGAGAAGAGTAACTGTATGGTTAATATGAAGCAACCCGCAGCTGGTTAGCCTAGCTTAGCACAACGACTGGAAAAAAGCTAGGTAATGGCCTAGCTTGAAATGTCTTGTTTTGACAGCGCAAAACATAATGACATAAAAAAGAGAAAGGCAGTACAACTCCATATTTGAGAGGCTGAAAGCTTTCTTTCTGACATGAACAATTACTTCAGTGAATAATTGCTTATCAAAAAATGGATTAGTAGTCAGCTAATCGTTTCAGCTTTATTTTAGCATTCGATCAATCATCAAAGCTTTTTAACTGTGGTTCGCACCTGCAGAGAGAGCCTCAAATATTCTCTCCTTTACTTTTATTCTCTGGTGGCTTTCCAAGCGCGCGTGCAGCTAAATCAGGTACTGCTAAAATCAAGGACACTAAACTTCAGCTGGAACCAAAATTGGAGCACACTGATTGATTTGCTGCTTTTAATAGTGCCACCAGATGTGTGTGTCCACTATTAAAGGCTGCACATCAATCCCTGTGCTCCACTGCGTCTTTTTGTTTTACCCTCTGAGGTTGAGATGTGTACTCACATGTCGGGGGAGTGTACAGTGTTCACGTGTCCCGCGTACAGGAGCTGGTCGTCCATCGGGATCAAAACTTTGAGTCCGTCCACCAGCGAGTCCTTATCCAACACGCACTGCACCGGAGCTGAACACAACAGAGCCATGCGGTATATAAGCATATTGTTCATGAAAACTGCCTCCTGATTGGTTGATCACATTTAGCGGTCGGTTATTTAAAAAAAATCTCAAAATCTGCTACGGCTGCTCTGACTAAGGGACTATGTGCAGTCATATCAATCTGCACAAAGAAGTTGGGTCACTTTAACATCAGCAGTGGCCAAAAAAAACACACTAGTTTCTGTAAGTCTGTCAAATAACTGTGTTTATAATATTTATTTTCATATTTGAGAAGAGCAAAACACGCTGGACAAAGGAAACGAGGACAAGTAAACAGAACAAGAGCCGGAAAGAGGATAAAACACTGAACACGAGAGAAATCAGCAGATGAAGACAGACAGGAAGTAAACACGAAAGGGAACAGCCGAAGAAGATAGACAGGAAGTAAACACTAAAGGGAACAGCCGAAGAAGAGAGACAGGAAGTAAACACTAAAGGGAACAGCCGAAGAAGACAGACAGGAAGTAAACACTAAAGGGAACAGCCGAAGAAGACAGACAGGAAGTAAACACTAAAGGGAACAGCCGAAGAAGACAGACAGGAAGTAAATACTAAAGGGAACACAGTATTCCCTAATTTTAAGTTACACTACTGTCTCCGTGCACAGCTGTTGTTCAGCCATTGCAGTAGAACTGACTATTGTTTGTTAGCTGAAGCTGTTAATATCTATTATTCCTTGTCTTCTTGTGTGTGTACTGACCCGGTGTGGAGACCCTCTCCGACACGCTGTTGCTTCGCGGTGTGACCAGTTCGTCTTCGCTGAAGCTGCTGTCCTGGTTCGGCTCGAAGTCCTCGTCCGCCGCCATGCTCTCCATCAGCCGGCTCACCGCCCCTCTGGAAGGCTGCAGAGAAAACACACAAAGGCTTTCATTTCCTAGCAGTAAAGATCCAACAAATCGACAATAAGTCAAATCTTAGAAAATATATAATTTTAAACTTTTCTTTTGGAAGGGGCTCCTGTATTCCATTTCCGCCATTAATTAATGTGTGTTAAAGTGTATATATTCAAAATATGGTCAAAGGTATTGATGAAGTATTGGGTTTATTATATACAATGTCTATCAGGAAACATCTCGTACAAGTTTAGTGATATTTTGATCTTTATTTCCGGAGATAAGTGCGATAAAGCAGATACGTTCCCCTTAGGAGAGATCTACATTTTCACAATTTTTTGTTAGGATCCAAACAAAACAACTCTTTTTTGCAGTAAAATATTCTAATACAAGCTATATTTTTTAAACTAGGCATCTTAGACTAATGATAAAACATGGATGTGCTTTGCTCCATTGAAAAACTGAAGCCTTTTTTTGTATTTGTTTCTCTACTACTGCTATTTAAAGTTCATTTATTGCCGCTCACCAAACCACCAGACACACCGCAAACTTTCCAAAGATAAAACGGCAACATATTACAACGCTTATGCTGTTTTATACACAATCTTCTTTATCTGATGTTCTGCCACCACCAAGAACTCTGCACACACACTCCGGCTGCCTGTAGTGTTTCCAAAACAAGCTGCAGTGTGTTGGTGGCAGATGGAGCGCAGAAATCACACTCTCTGAGAGGTTCACTTCTTCTCTCACCAACAGATCAGTGTTAATTACAGCAGCAGATATCAACCTCCACACGTATTGTCACTGTGTGTGTGTGTGTGTGTGTGTGTGTGTGTGTGTGTGTGTGTGTGTGTGTGTGTGTGTGTGTGTGTGTGTGTGTGTGTGTGTGTGTGTGTCTGACACATAGAAGGTAAAATGGATGTGTGCACATTTAGGGAACATCACTTAAATGTTCCAATTTTGTTCTTGCCAGGATAATTAACCCTTGCGCCTCATTGGGGACATTTTTTTATTTTTCAATCAATTAGGCTGTTAATGCATTTGGCACGGGATGACGTTTTCTTTTTAATACAATTTTGAACTCAGCTTGTATAATAGGTCTAAACAAGTCAAATGAAAGTGTTAATCCCCTGGCTATTGAAGCCTAAAGTCATGCATTCTATATCAGACTATAGATCTGGATCCTTGTCTTCAAATGTGTTTTTATTATTGTATAGATACAAAGCAAAAGAGTGTGGATATGTCGTTTTTTTATTGCAGTTATTGTTAGACGTAATAAAGCCTAAAAGAAAGGCAAAAGGGTTAGGTTCACATCCTTGATGACTCCGCAGATTCTCACTGACCTCTCTGGGTTTGGGTCTGGCTTTGGGTTGGCTCTTGCGTTGCGGGCTGAGGCTCAGAGGAGGAAGAGGAGGAGGAGGAGGAGGAAGAGGAGGAGGGTCTGAGAGGCTGCAGAGGGGAGCCGGACTCACCGGAGACTCCTTCAGCTTCTTCTTCTGCTGAAAGCATGCATATGTATCACTGCACTGAGGATGTACTGGACACATTTACATCTTTACACACACACACAGGCCAGACTGCCTGCAGTTGTCCTTTCTTGTCAGCGACACGACACAGGCAGCAGGGGAGTGCTGCAGTGACTGAAGGACTGGGAAACCCTGCTGGCTCACTCTCTCACACACACACACACACACACACACACACACACACACACACACACACACACACTCACACTCAC